TGCAAAGTAGTTTACAAATATCTCATTTTATCCTCACAACAATGCTGTAAGGTAGGTGCTAGTACTATCCTCATTTTACAGATAAGGAAACTGAGGCAAGCAGAGGTTTAGTGATGTGCCCAGGGTCACAGCTAGTAAATATCTTAGGCCAAATTTGGACAAAGTCTTCCTGACTGACTCAATCCACAGTCCTACTTAGCTGCCTGTAGAGTTGACCATGACTCTGAAGTTGGGAACCTAGGTAGCTGGGAAATTTGTGGTAACTTCAACAGAAATAGGAAGTTGGGAAGATGATTTTGGGGAAAAACTAATGAATTAAATTTTGGAAATTATAAGTTTCAAATGCCTCTGGGACATTCAGTTGTAGACTGGTGTGTGTGTGTGTGTGTGTGTATAGAGAGGTGATAGTTGGACCAACAAAGGAAGTTGACAAGATAAGAGTACGCACAGGGAGGAGGGGGCACTAGGGTCAAATACAGCAGAGAAGTCCGTTTTGAGATCATTGATAGCTTTGGGAGTGCTGATAAGTAGAGTTGCCCTTTTGTCTTTCCAGCAAATGCACCATGGGTCTCTTTGTGGATCGTAATCAGTGGTTTTGGATTCTCTAGACTATATTCTCCCGGTTTAGAACAGACTCTTTCTTGTAGGATCTGGCTCTATGAGGAGATAATGCAGGTACAGTGTAATTTCAGAGATGCCCAGGGATTGACTGCCTCCAAATACTTTTCCTTTATCCCTTTCTGATCATGTAGTCAATGTAAGGAGCAGGAGAATGGGAATCTGAAGACTTAGGTTCTAGTCCTGCTTCTCCCACTGTCTGTTTGTGACTGGCCAAGTCGTTTCTTTCTAGGCTTCATTTCCTCCTCTTCAAAATGAAGAAATTGGGGGCAGCTCGGTGGCGCAGTGGATAGAGTACCAGCCCTGGAGTCAGGAGGACCTGAGTTCAAATCCGGCCTCAGACCAAACACTTGACATTTACTAGCTGTGTGACCCTGGGCAAGTCACTTAACCCCAATTGCCTAACAAAACAAAAAACAAAAAAACAAAAACAAAAAAAAACAACCCCCCCCCAAATACAAAATGAAATCATACTAGAGGATCTCAATGGTCCTTTCAAGTACAATGTTAGGATCTATGATTCTAGCTAAGTGAGTCCTAAATAGGTAAAAATACATCGGCATGGGGGCATTTCAGTTGGGGGTAGAGGGGAATGATGGTCAGAGATGCTGAGTTGCCAGTACTCTCTCTGGAGGGCTGCATTCTCTGGAGGGTAGCACTCTAGGGAAGGGCAAGACCAGGGGAATGGTGTATCCAAGAGCAGGCTTTGCTGGGGGAGAAGGGCAGAGAAGAGAGACTCCTAATAGACAAGTGCCCTTCACTCTTTCCTCTCCTCAATAACATTTTCTTTGTTGTTCTCATAGCTCCTTGTTGAAGATATGCAGGATGTGTTTTTTAAAATTGACTTTTATTAATGATTTCAATATTGTGCCTAGCCACACCTATCATAATTACTGGTCAGTTTTGGAGGGAAGCCAACTGTGTTTCTTAGCCAAACAATTTCCCCACCTCTGTGAGATGCGGCAGGATGGGTAAAGTAAGCAAACACAAAATCTTGTGTTTTGTAGTTAGGTTTCTCCCTCCAGGGTGTCGGGTGACAGTTTTGGTAGAGAACCACATTGTGATGCCTTAATGTCTCTGTTTCTTAGACGATAAACAAGCAGTGTGGGATATCTGGCCCTGCTTAGGGTTCAGGGGAAGAGAGAAGCAGCAACACGAGGCCAGGCTCCTAGCCTCAGAGGCCCACTGTGTGGTTTCAGTTCACATTGTTGAATGACTTACTAGCAGCAGCTAAAAGGCCTGTGGAAACCTTTTTGCGACACTTTGCCTTATATATGTGACCTGACTTTCTACTGAGTTGCATTGCTGTCTGTTATAGACCAATACTTGTCACTTTGCCGCAGTGATCTACCTGGTTAGTAGTCTCCACTGATATCTGAGCAGATGAAGGCAATAATACATAGTCAGGATTTCACCCCATGAGAATTCACTTCAGATATGGTGTCCAGGAACAAATTGGGTCTAAAAGTGGGGATCACCTGTATGTCTAAACAAAACTCAAAAATCACAGGACAGCCTATGGAATGAGAGAACATTCCTATCTCATAGTCACAAATAGTCAGTGAGATCTAGCATTTATTAAGCACTTACTATGTGCAAAGCCCTCTGGTAAGTGCTCAGGGTACAAATAGAAAAGTAAGACAGTCCCTGCTCTCAAGGAATTCACATTCTAATGGAGGAGACAACATATTGCAATGTTTCATCTGTAAGTTGGCAAGAAAGAAAGTCAGCAGGGTCCTTAGGGTGTGGCAGCAAAGCAGACAGCAGTGTCTCTTGTTTAATGTCATTATTTAATGTCACTTTTCCTAGAACTTTTGGGTTCAGCATCTGTCTCCATCAAGGTCTGAGGGAAGATGGTAGTCAAGTTGTTGGTGGTGGTTTGACTTGCCTGGCACATGCTGTCTCCTGTCTTTCCCTTAGGCTGCCTTGCTGCTCCATCTAGGTTGGCTTACCCTTCCCTGTGTGTTGGTTGGCAGTTGGTGGGATGGCTGACTCTTTCTTTGCTTCCATGGATGATGGCCATGAGGGCTGGGTCAGAAGCAGGAATGGTGGTCAGAGGTGGGAGGTACTGCCATTCCCAATGTTTCTGTGTCCATCTTCCTGTTGTTGGCAGTTGGTCAGCAATTGTTGCTGGTGGTGATGAAGAAGATGGGCCCCCTCTCCACAGTGATTTCTCTCCTTAATTATGGCTGTGGGCTATGAGCTAGGAGCAGGTCTAGTGTTTTGGGGAATGCTGCTATTCTCAAGACACTTGAGTTCAGGACCTTGGGCTATCCCCATTAGGCTCTGAAGGGAGATGGTGGTCAAGGTGGTGGTTGATGGTGATTTGACTTTTCTGGCATATGCTGCCTCCTATCTTTCCCTCAGGGTGCTCTGTTTCTTCAGTTAGGCTGTCTTACCTGCTTGGTGTGTAGCAGTTGGTGGAGGGATTGGCCTCTTCTTCACAAGAGTTGCTTCCACAGAAGATGACTATGAGGGCTTCTATGCTTGTACGCCTGTTAGTGGCGGTTGGTGAGCAGTTTGTACAACTACAGACTTGAGGTTTCTTCCTAAGAAATTCCTGGCCTGTTTTTTCTGGCTTATATTGCTTTTTTCTTACTTGATGGTGTGGGAAGTTACTCTTAGGATTATGGAATTTCTAAATCTTGAAAGGACCTCAGAGGTCATGTAGTTAAGTCTCTCATTTTATAGGTGAAGAAGTTGAGGCCCAGAGAGGTGAAATTACTGGGTCAAAGTCATTTAGACAGTAAGAGGCAGAGGCAGGTTTCAAACCCACTTTGTATTCAGATTCGAAATTCAGTTCTTTTGGCAGAACTGGAACAAGCAGTAACTACGACTTCATTCTGAACAGTAATTCAAGTGAATTCTACTGTACTACTGGAAAGTTATTTTAGTCTGTTTTTTAATATTTAGGTCTCTCTGTGACTCTTTTTTAGAGAGAATGCCATTGAAAAATGATAGTTATGAGGAAGAGAACACAGAGTTTTAAATTGAAAGGAATCTGACACTAAATAGTATGACCCATATCTGAACAAAAATCCCATTCATCATGTCCTCAAGTCATCATTTAGCTTTTGCTTAAATATCTGTAGTGAAGAGACTTCTGCAGTACCCGAGACAGCCCATTCCGTGTTTAGATGGCCCTAATGGTTAGGAAGTTTTTCCTTACATCAAATCTAATTTTGCTTCTTTGTAACTTCCACTCTCTGATCCTAATTCTGTTCTCTGGCAGCCAAGCAGAATGAGCCTAATCTCTCTTCTATCATGTCCCTCCCACCTCCTACCCCCAAGACATTAAAAAATAGATCAATAATCCAGTCCAATTACACAGACATTTATTAAACACCTACTAGGGGTCAAGAATACAAAGACAAATAGTTTCAGCTGTTAAGGAGTTTATACTGAGACATGGAATAGGTGGGTGCAATACAGCATGTCCCCAGATACGTAAGTACAAAGTAATTTGAGGAGGAAGAGAATATTAAAAACTGAGGGGTTAAGAAAAGTCTTTGCATAGGAGGTAGCACTGGAGCTGAACCTCAAGGGAAGCTAAGGATTCCAAGAGGTGGATGTAAGAAGGGAGGGCATTCTGGGCGTGGGGAACTGTCTGTGCAAAACCCTGGTGGTGGGAGATGGCACTGTCTTCCACCAGTTCTCCTATGAGTTCCAAATTCTCGCCCTTCTTCCCTCCCCCCATTGAGAAGATAAGCAGTTCGATATAGGTTATACATGTGTAATCATGCAAAACATTTCCATATTAGTCATGTTGTGAAAGAAGACACAGACACAAAGGAAAAAAAATACAAAAAACATAAAAAAAACCCCACAGAAAGTAAAAAATAGTATGCTTTGATCTGCATTCAGACTCCATCAATTCTTTCTCTGGAGGTGGATAGCATTTTTCATCATGAGTCCTTTGAAATTGTCTTGGATCATTGTATTGCCAAGAATAACTAAGGCATTCACAGTTGATCATCATACAATATTTCTCCTGTTTCTGTTCAATTCACTTTGCATCAGTTCATGTAAGTTTCTCCAGGTGTTTCTGAAACCAGCCTGCTCATCATTTCTTATAGCACAGTAATATTCCATTACAATCATATACCACAAGTTCTCACAAGTCTATCTTTTTAACATACAAAGCTAATTCACTCCCCTTACTTGTATCTATCCTTTTCCTTTTGAATAAGACATACCACCTTTCCAGAGTCATATTGCTATCATGGTTCTCGTGGTACCAGGTCTTACCAAGACCTGTGGAGTTAAATTTGCCTTGTGTTATGACCTCTAGTTTGCTTTGTTAGTTATCCACACTTTTCGAATTTGTGTATAGAATTTTAGGTTTCAGGTCGTTCTCATTCCTTCCCTCTTTGTTCCTACAGATACAGGGAACACTAGCAAAGGGAAATCCCACACGGGCCTGGGGAAGAAATCCAGACTGATGAAGACAGTGCAGACTGTGAAAGGCTATGGTAACTACCAGAACTGTACCATCATGAAGGCCCACAGCCCACACTCAAGCTATGGCACCTATGTGACACTGGCTCCCAAAGTCTTGGTGTTTCCCATTTTTGTGCAGGTGAGATGGTGGCTCTGAGTGGAATGGTGTGGTCATCCTGGGAGCTTGGTTTGGATTGTCCCTGAGAATTCCATTTTGAAAAGGATGAAATCATGGCTTAAGGCTGTAACAACTAGTGAGTGAGGATTCAGCACTGGACTGAGTGCTTCCATCCAAATATGTGAAATGTAATTTCAGATTTCAAGTAACTTACGGGAATTAAACGAGGTTTTCTTTATTGAAGTACTCATTATTGGGTGTGGGGACAGTCAGGCAAGAGCTATCAGGCAGGGAAAGTAGGACCTTGAATGGCTAAGGGGAGACTAAGGGAGGGTACTCCCTACTTTTGTCTGTCTGTTTCTGTCTCTTTTTTTTAAGGCTAGATATCCCTATCTCAACTACTTTGGAAATGCAGTTGCTACTGATGTGCTGAACCCTACCGCTGATCAGCATGGGGGCTTTATCCTTCTTAATTTCTGACCTGGGCCAGTTCATTACTCCCTAGGCAGCCTGGTGGCCCCTGCGCCTGAGAGTTCATCATCTTGGTGCCAGACTTATGCAGACACCTGATCAGCTCAGCCCACTATAGCTTAGGACTTTTGATCTCAAGCCATTCACCAGGCTCAGCCTTAGCAGGGATTGCAGGTGTGCACCACTGTGCCTGTCCCCTACTCCTCTCCTCTGGGGATTTTTATTTTTGTCCAGCAATTGTATTTTAAAGGTAAAGGGGCAAGCAGAGTATGATTTTATGCTTGTTTGGGAGCCAGTTCTTTGATATGTTTCTCATTGTAAATGTAAAAATCTCTCATTCCTCTGGCTTCCGTGCTGAACACAAGTAGTTTGCCTTTTAGAAATTCCTGATTAGGAGCCTTGACATCTTCATAATGTGATTGTTGCTCTGCTCTTCTCATCTGATCTGAATGCCCTGGCTTCCCCACATGTATTATTGTAAATTTGTCTTACTTGGGGTTTAGCCATTTTCCTTAGACTTTCTTAGGTTGTTGTCGAATTTCCCCCTTACCTCTGACTGAGGTGAGGTTGCTCCAGGCCCATTGGTTATCTATTTTGGAGCCAGTACCATCCAACATGCCTTACAAAACAACATGTTTTGCTGGCATATAGTTTATATCTGTCCATTGAACTTTGTCAGCCTCGAATATACATCTTTATATATATATATATATATATATATCTGAATGATCTTATTTTTTCATTTCTACGTGTCTGTCTTAGCATTAACTGTTTAGAGTGGAAGGTATAAATGTGGCTTTCTTTAAGAATATCACCCAGTGCTAAGCACCTGTCAATAAATCTCAATAAATATTGGTATGTGAGTATAAGTACACATTGTCCCTGTCTTATACAGCTCCATTTGGGCTGGATGAAAAGAGAACTTCAGAGGAGATATGGTGGAAGAAACTGGTAGGGGTTGCTTAGTGCTGGGATGCATTGGCCTAGAATACTATGGGAACTCCTGTGAGAATCAATCAGTTTGATCAAGAAAGTTTAGTGAAGGCAATAAAGGGCTTGTTGGAAGGCTTTGAACATGTCTTGGATCAAAGCCAGTAGCTAGTTGAGTATGAATCTGTTGGTTTGTGATCAGGGGATGTGAGGATAAAAGAACACAATAGGGATTACATACTGCCAGTCAGCCAGTGGAAGGAGCTAATCTGATTCCCAGAAAGATTCTCATTCTGACTCTCACTGTATGGGGTGAAAAGGTGTAGGAATGTATGTGGCATTAGGCCATTGATGGTGAGGGCAAAGAAGCAAGCAGGGTATGGGGGTGGGCCCAGAAAAGGGCTGAACTGTGTGGTTTTGCTTCCTGCCGAGAAAAAGCAGCCTCATCACCGTTGGCTCTTGGCTGTCTGTTAGGTTGAAGCAGTGTTATCTGCAGCAGCTTCACACAAGGACAGTGGCTGTTTTTTTCCCTCTTTTTTGAGGCTGTGGGACTGTGTAAGTGTTGAGCGCAAGAGGGTGGTTTCTCTCCTCTTCCGTTCTAGCCAACCAGTCAGCAACCTGTCCTCCACTGAGAGAGTTGTGTTCCCAGCTGGTTCAGCTAGCTCATATCTTCTCTAGGCTCCAGGGGGGCCAGCTCTGATCCTGGGCTTCTCTTCTCTCCCTCACCCCCGTCAGGATTCTTCATCCTAACCTGTGAGTTCAAGCTGTGCTTTGTTTTCAGCCCCTAGATCTCTGTAACACAGCTCGGACTCTGTTGCTGGCTGAAGAACTTATGCTTTATGAAGGGAGAAACAAAACCTCCAAGGTAAGATACTTCAGTGGGTTCTTAATTCCTCTTGTAAATTATCCAGGCACCTGACTCTTCCCCTCATTGCTAGACTTGGAGCTATTTTGTTGCTCTTTTATACCTTCAGAGACAGAGAAAAGAGGACAAACTAAGACCAACTCTGTTGAGAGGTTCAGGAGGAGGGAGAAATTGAAGTGATTGATTGATTGGGAGATTTTAGTTATCTAGGTACCTCCTGCCACATTAGCACAACTCTAAAATCTATTCTATACTTCTAGGCTCTGACTTCTGTTGGCCTCCGGTTCTGCCAAGTTAAGATTTATGACACTCTGTCTTGTGACTGTGTCCATCTCATCCTTTGTAGCTGAGCAGTTATTTCCATTTATTCTACACAATTTTCAGAATTGCTTCCATCTTCCATCTACCACAATTAGTGATACCTCTCTAAAAGGGAAATCCCTAGAATGCTGTTGGGCAAATGCCCCAGTGAGTTTCATCCTCAGTCCCATTTTCCGGGGCCCCAGCTTGTTCCACTTCAATCTCAACTGTCTGGCTTGATCTTGGCTACTAGAACAGAGCCTTTCTGGGAGCTGTAGATTTTGTGTCTACTTCACAGCGAACCTGGGAATCATCTGCCTTGGAGCCACTGTGGACTCACTACATGCTGGACTAACTGGATTTTCACCCCTGGAATTAGAGATGAAATTTAACCATACTTTCTTTTGTGGAGAGAACCTATTGTTCTGTATATTTCCTTTGGTGCCATTCAGGTAGAAATGGATTAAGAAAAACAAAACAAAGCAAAACCCAACAATCAGTCCATTCATCCAAATGAATTCAGTTCAAACTAGCCACTTTGGGAGGATAAACAAACATTTATCTCAATGATGAATTTCATCAAAACGTTTTGGACACTTTTCTTTAGAATGGCCTTTATGGTCTGTACAACACTGTTGTGAATACCTTTCATGAAAGAAAACCTCTGACTGTGGACTTGATTTTTGGAAATGACCATGAGCCAAGGCATTTAGTCTCTAGGCTTCAGTTTTCTCATTTTTAAAATGATGAAACTGGGCACTGGACTAGATAATCTCTAAGATACTCACCACCTCTAATATTCTGTGGTTTTATTATTCATTTGGACCTGGCTTTAGTGAATAGGATCAGATTGAGTTGTAGTATCTTAGTTTTTAAAAAACAGTATTTTTTTTTTCAATTACATGTAGAGACAATTTTCAGCATTCGTTTTTTTATAAGATTTTGAATTCCAAATTTTTCTCCCTCCCTCCTCTTCCCGCTCCCTAAGATGGCAAATGATCTGTATTATCTTAGTTTTTACAGTGAGCTGTGACAGGCTTATGATGTCCAAAGCAGGAGCACAGAAACATTTGGAAAAAGTGGCAGCATCTTTGTAATAAGCTCCTGTCTTCTCTCCAAGCCCCAAAGTGGCTATTTTGAAGGACAGCATTCATTTGAATGTGTAAGTTGTGTAGAATCAGTGGATAAAGAGCTGGCCTTGAAGTTAGGAAGATCTGAGTTCAAGTCCCACCCCTCACACATAACTAGCTGTCTGTGTGACCCCGAGCAACTCACTTAACTTCTCAGTGCTCTAGGCCAGTGGTGTCAAACTCCAATAGAAACCAGGGCTGCCAAGCCCCGCATGGAGAATCCCAGCTTGCTTATTTTATTAAGTGTCTCCCAATTACATTTTAGTCTGGTCTGGGGAGCGCTTGTGTCGGACGCCTCTGCTCTAGGCACCCAAGGCCGTGTTACAGAGAAGGTGCTGACTTGCATTGAAAAGGTAGTTCCTTAGGCCAATAAAATCATTGGCCTAATCAGTCATTTAGTTTGTCAGCTAGCATTTATTAAATTCTTAACACATACCAGGCATTGTCCTGGTACAAAGGGAAGCAGAAAGTCTGCTCTGGAGGAGCTTATGTTCTCTTGGGGCAGACAGCACATAAAACACTAGGTACCTATCAGATGTATGTCGAGTGGATGGACGGCGGCCTTAGAGGAGAAGGCACTAGTAGCTTGGGAGAGCAGGAAGGGCCTCTTGCAGAAGGCCAGGGGAACTGAGAGGCTGAGGTGGGGAAGGAGAGCTTTCTGGTCCTGGAGGACAGCCTGTGCAGAGGCACAGAGACGGGCAGATGAGATGGCTCGTCCTGTGGGAAGAGGGAAGTGGAGCCAAAGAAGATGGAGGAGTTAGGAAGTGTGTTAAATGCTAAACAGGAGAATTTATCTTTGCTCCTGGAAGTGACAGGGAGCTACTGGAGCTCACCAAGGAGGGAGGCGACGTGGTCATCTGGAAGGTTACCTGGGCAGCTGAGTGAGGATGGCCTGGAGAGGGGAGAGACTAGAGACAGGCAGACCCACCAGCAGGCTGTTTGCAGTAGTCCAGGCTTGAGGTGATGAGGACCTGCACCAGAGTGATGAGAGTGTCAGAAGAGAAAAGGGTATTTATATAAAAAGATGTTCTGTAAGTAGAAACAACAAGATTTGGCAATGAATTGACTATGAGGGGGTGAGAGTCAAGGATGACATTAAAGTTATGAGCCTGGGGGACTAGAAGGATGGTGGTGCCCTTGACAGGCATGGGTCCCCATCCTTGTCCCTCTCTCTCTTGAATCAGAGCTTTTTATTGTTGGAAGATATGTCAGAAATCAAGTCTAGCCTTCTCATTTTTTTTGGTGTCTTTTTTTTTATTAATTTATTTTGAATTGTCAACAATCACTTCCATAAGCTTTTGAGTTTAAAATTTTTCTCCCCCTGCCTCCCCAAGACAGCACTCAATCTGATATAGGCTCTACATATACATTCCTATTAAACATATTTTCACATTAGTGATGTTATAAGTAAGAATTAGAACTAATAGGAGGAACCACCAGAAAGAGGAAACAAAACACAATAGAAGAAAATAATAGCAAATAGTATGCTTTGATCTGCATTCAAGCTCCATAGTTCTTTCTTTGGATGTGGATGTGGATAGCATTTTCCATCATAAGACTTTTGGAGATGTCTTAGATCCTTGTATTGCGGAGAAGAGCTAAGTCTATCAATATTAGTCATTGCACAGTGTGGCTGTTACTGTGTACAACATTCTCCTGGTTCTGCTCACTTCACTCAGCATCAGTTCATACAAGTGTTTCCAGGTTTTTCTGAAATCTGCCTGTTCATCATTTCTTATAGCACAATAGTATTCCATTACATTCGTATACCACAACTTGTGTAGCCATTCCCGAATTGATGGTCATCCTCTCAATCTCCAATTCTTTGCCGCCAACAAAAAGAGCTGCTATAAATATTTTTGTACACATGTGGGTCCTTTTCCCATTTGTATGATCTTTTTGGGGTATAGCTCTAGAAGTGCTATTGCTGGGTCAAAGGGTACGCACATTTTTATAGCCCTTTGGGCATAGTTCCAAATTGCTCTCCAAAATGGTTGGATCATTTCACAACTCCACCAATAATGCGTTAATGTCCCAATTTTCCCACATCTTCTCCAACATTTATCATTTTCCTGTTTTGTCATGTTGGCCAATCTGTTAGGTGTGATGTGGTACCTCAGAGTTTGTTTTGATTTGCATTTCTCTAATCAGTAGTGATTTAGAGCAATTTTTCATATGACTAAAGATTAGCCTTCTCATTTTACAGATGTAGAAATTGAGCCCCAGAGAAGGGAAATGAATTATCCATGGTTATACAGTGAACTAATGTTAGAGATGAGAACCTAGGTCTTCTGGTTCTCATGTCAATAGTTTTCTGACTACACTACCAATCTCATTACTTTATGGTAGTTCCTTTGGTAAGGACTCCCATCAACTTGATGCACTCTCAGACTGTGGATGTACCCAGAACTTCTCTCTGCGTTGGGGAAATTCTTTTTATAGTTGTTATTTAAAAAGAAAACACAGCATAATTAATCATCAGAGTTGTTGAATTAGTAAGTCCCCCATAAAGCTTAAATAAAATGTAAAGGAAAAATGTATACATTTAAAATTAGGGAATAGGAAATACATGTGCTTATTACTTGGAGAGGTTGCAAAAGCCCAAAATAAAAACAGCTTTGGGAAGACTTAAGATAAATTTCTTGATGATAGATTTGGAGCAGGATGTCGAGGAGAAAGTTGGGATGTTCTGGGTGTATCCTTAGGCTTTGAGAGGATTTTCTATACAAAATTGTAGTTGTTTAGGTCAACAGATGTTTTCTTGATGTAAGGGTGGTGAGGGAAAAGCAGATATTCTAGCTCATTGTGATCCTTGGAAAAGGCAGCCATGTTAAGACTTATTTAAACGTTGAGACCTTGCAGTGTTGTGTTCCTTATTCTTCCTTAGAGGTGGGTACTGGGGTTTGTTTTGTCCCTTCCTGAATCTTTTCTCAGAGGCCTTTTGGTGGGGTTCCAACTAAGACCAGCCGGATGAAAGTGAGATTAAGGGCCTGTCTGGACTCCACTTCTACCGTTTCACCCTCTGTCACCATCTCCAGACTTTTGCCAGCTCTGTCCTTTTCCCTGACCTGACCTTTGGGGAAATTCTTTATTCAGTCCTTAATCACTTCCTGTCTAGACTGCACTGTGATTCCTGTTTTAACAGTTTTCTTAAAACTATGCTTTTCCAGTTTTGAGATTCTGGAGAGTTAATAAACTAACTTTGAGCTCTTTTTATCTCCCTGATGTCTTTCCCCCATTTGTTGTCCACTTCTACACCTCTGTGACTTTTTTGGCTTGCAGACATTGTTTTAATCCTGTCCACCACCCTGTGCTGCCTGTTGGTGACTTGGGTTGAGAGAAGGGGAAAGGAAAATCTGAGGCAATTTTTTTTTATGTAGGATTTTCTTTTTCTTTTTCTTTTTTTTTTAAGCTACTCTAGCCTCTAAAGTAATTTTCCCTTATCTCTATCCCAGTTCTCATCCTAAATCGTTTTTTGTATTCATGTGGGTTGTCTTGTCTTTTCATACTCTTCTTTCACTAATGGTGTTCTTGTCCTTTCTTCACTTCCTCTGACCCCATCTTGCCACCTTCTTAGCCTTTACAAGTTCCTCAGAAGGCTATAATTATGTGACACTTTTGCTGCCAGGTCATACATAGGTAGAGTGGTATAGGTGTAAACTCATTAGACTAGGAAACCTGAATCCTAGCTCTGTCATTCAGTAGTAAAGAGAGCTATAGATCAGAAGGTTTTAACCTCAGGTCCAAGGTCCAGAGCACTTGTGAATAGGTTAATAGTGGGTCTGTGAACTTAAATGGGGAAAAAAATGACATTTTAATTTTCACTAGCCTCTACCTGAAACTTAGCATTTCCTCCAATTATGAATGTAGGCAATGAGCATTATTCTGAGAAGGGCCCATAGGCATCATTAATCTGCCTAAGGGGACCATGACTCAAAAAAGATTAAGAACTAAATATTAGAGAACTAAGATGTTAGAGAAAATGATCAGGACAAACAGAAGGGCCCTCATACCACAGAACAGCCAAGAGTCAAATGTCCTGTGGTCTAGATCTAGATCTACTATTGACTCTCTGTGTGACCCTGGGCAGCCACTTACCCTCCTCAAGCTCAGTTTCCCCATCTTTAAATTAGGGATGATAACGTCGACCTCAGGGTAATTGCAGAAGATCCACTATTATACTATAAATGATAAAACATAAAACATTATATACATGTTCAAGGTATTAATACCACTAGCTCATGTGTATTAATTAATATAGTATAATGAATTAACAAGTGATAACAATGAAAGTAAGTTCTACAATTTTTAAGACTCCCACTCAAAAAGGTCCATTGCTAGAGGGGAAGAAAGGGTGTCAGCAAAAATGTATCCACACGGTGACATGTAATGGTTTCATTTGAGGATCTTAGATTAGTTACATTTTGTTGCTTTTGAGATTTGCTGCCATGAGATTTCCAAAGAAAAGGTTATGTGCAGTCTAATCCTGAGTGTGGCAGGTTAGAGTGACTTTCAGAATGCAGAAATATGGAAATTAACCATTTCAAGAATGATTAATAAGAACCACCAGATAAACACATTGCCGAGTCAGTTTAATTGTGATATGAGAGTGCTGATTTTTGAAGTGAACAATACAAAAAGAGACTATGTAAGTAACTTGCATGCTTTTGTCAGATAGTAAATAATTGAAATGGCAACCAGAGATCGGGTGGAGTGGGAAGAAACACTGCACCAGTTCTGGGTTCTAGTCTCAGGAGTTCTACTTCTGTGGCGTCCCTGCTGTGCGACCTCCCTGAGCTTCAGTTTCATTGTCTGTAAAAAATAGGGCTAATACCATCTCTTCTGCCTTCCTCTCATAGGGTTATGAGAAAATCAAATGAGATGATGTACATGAAAGTGTGTTGTAGATTGAAAAGTGCTACACCATATAATAGATGAAAATCATTGCCCTTCTAGAAGTGTTCTTAAATGAATGCTAATTAAAGTTGTCACTGAGAGACTTTCTGGCTTACCTCTAGATGCATAGGTCAAAATAAAAGATAATAGGAAGGATCCTCTAGCTCAGGGGCCCTTTTGATACTTTGTAACTGAGCTGGAGGAGTTTGATGTTAACCACCTTGATCATGGCAATGAGCATTGTTATCAGAGCAGAAGAAAGGGTCTGGTAAGCACTGTCTGGCATCAGGGGAAGTTTCCGTGTTTCATGCTTTAAGGAATTAGAGGAACCAGATACCTGTAATTTGCCCCTGGTTTTATAATTAGTGGGCCAGGGATTGAGAGGGAGACAGTGAACTCCTAACACTAATTATTGTTAGCCTTGGCCATATCAGTGGCTTGTAACTGCTTTAGGCAACAATGCTGAAGATGTTGTACCAGGCTTACTTGTTCAGTCATTTGGAACAAGTCTGGTAAGTCAGATTATAACTTCATTCATTCATTCATTCAGCAAGTTAACAGTTCATTCAGCCCACGTTAAGCATTTACTATGTTCAGAGTACTGATGAGATGCTGAGAGTGTACAAAGTTTAGATAAGACTCAGTCCCTGTCCTTATGACTGATAGGCCTTCTGAGATTTTGCTTATTGGCTATACTATTCACTGTTCTGTGGTGAAAAAGCTGGTTGTATTTTATCCTGTGTGGTTCTTTCCCTGCCCAGGTGACATTGTTTGTGTACTCTGACCTGTTGCTCTTCACCAAGGAGGATGAGCCAGGACGATGTGATGTCCTGAGGAACCCACTCTACCTCCAGAGTGTAAAACTGCAGGAAGGTAAGTGTTGGAGAAGCTCTTCTCTGCTGAGTTGGACCTATGAATACAAAGCTTAGTTTGGGTCACTTAGGTCTGTCTTCCTAGTGTGCACTGGTAACTCTCAATGGTGCAGTTTACAATTCTCAAACTGGACAGCTCAACATTTCATTTTGTTCTAGGCAAACTTCCTTGCATACCTACCCATCTACCAAAGTGGTTGAGTGATTTCTAATGACAGAGGTGTGGATATAGGAGTGAAGAGGAGAGGAAAAAGAAGCTGTGGCTTGTTCTCTCATAGGTGTCTCCCAAGATCCATAGGAGAAAGAAGGGAGGGAAAAGGGGGAGGAAGAGGAGGAGCAGACAGATGGGGAGGGAGAAAAAGAGAGAGATGAAGATGGGGAGGATGTGGGGGTGTGAAATGGGTTTCAAGTCCAAACTTTCCATCATATCCCCCTATACTCCAGGAACTTGGATCCAGCTGGGAATATCTGTTCTGAGTTTAGTTTGGCGCCTGAGGTCTCTGCTGTAAAAGAGGCTTGATTTCCTCTTTCAGATTATTAAAAAAAAAAACAACACCCAAAAACAACAAACTTGTTTGAGTAAGAGTGGCAAGAGATGGGAGGAAAATATTACGAAGTTAAAAAATTGTGTTTTGATGGCTGTTGCTACAGAAAAACTTCCTGGCTATTTGTTAGCCCATCCTGCGTAGTTAGTTCATTGGTTGTTTTTGTTCCTTAGACATAGTCAATGTGTGAAACTCTACTCTTGCTTCTTTGGAGGAAAGTAATCTTTCTTCCTGCCTGGACTTTCTTCTGCCAACTGGCCCAGGCATCTAGGCAGCATCTATCACTGCTTTTGTAGTTTCCTGAAGGATATAATATAATTCTCTGTTAGTCTCTGAGATTTAACTGAGGGTAAAGTTGCATTGTATTTGGAATAGACACTTCCTTCTTTCTTGGCCACAATTCCTATCACTTCACTCAATCCCACAAATTCTAAATAACCAAAGATAGGTATCGTATTGCCAGAGAACTTTAGCTTTGTTAATTTCTAGGACATAGGTTCACCTTGGCATGCAGCTTAGGAAGAACAGACACTTTTTCCTTAATATATTTGAATACTTTGTAAAGTACCATGACACCATGGAGATGTTCAGTAAATATTTGTTCACTAATTGTAAGAACCTTTCATAGAGTCTTCTCAATTATTTAGAAACTAATTATCTAAGGCAAGGGTTTTTTAAACCTGTAGTCCATGGGCCCCTAAAAGGTATGTGAATTGATTTCAAGGGGTCATTGAAATCTTTAGTGAACTAAACCTTTAACTGAAATTTACCATTTGCTTCAATTGTGAATGAAGACAACAACTCACAGTAGTAGTATTCGGCTTCATCAGACTGCCAAAGTGTGGGGGGGTCTATAACACAAAAAGGGTTAGTAACTCTATCTAAGAAGTGTGGGGGAATCATTTGGAGTAATGATTCTCCCTTGCTGGAAGACGGGTCATTGAAGTGAAGTGAAGTCCAAGCTAGTTAATTGCAGGCTTGTACACATACTGCCCATGGGCCACTTGGGGCCTGCCAAAGGATTTTGGGCAAAAAATGTGGGGTTGCCACTGCACACTCTGTCCTGTTTGTCGTGTGACCCATGGCAACCAACCATTATCAGTTTGTCCATAGTCTAACCTATTTGCTGCCTGAAGAAATTTACAAGTTATGCAGGTCTGTTAATTGGAAGGGTAGTGCAATGTAATAGAGGCTAGAAGTGGAAGTCAAAAGACCTCTATTCTCACCTTAACTCTGCCATCACTTAAACCTCTCTGGGCCTCAGTTTCTTCATTTATAAGATGAAGAAGCTAGACTAAGTTTGATCCTGTGATCCTCTCCTGTTCTAACATTCATAGATAATTGAGTCTCTTCTCTTGGCAAAGTTTTTTATGCAGTTTCTGTATCTTTCCCCTTCCCCATCCCATTCTCTTCTTGGGGAAATCAATTTCTTTTCTGGTCTCTACATTAAGAAGAAGGAAACTGTGACACAAATAGTTTCCTAAGTTACGATAGGACTAGAAATGAGTCTTTGGCTTCCCATTTAGGATCATTATTTAATTTAGACACAGTATAATTGTTTTTTTAAATTGTTTTTATTTTTTGTTACATTTTGAGTTCTTAGTTGTCTCCCTCCAACCCCACATTAGAGAAAACCAATGTTTGATATAGATATATATATATATGTGAAGCCATATAATATGTACTTCCATATATCAGTTCTTCCTTTGGAGGTGGATAACATTTTCCTTCATAAGCCCTTCATAGTTGATTTGAATAATCATGTCATTCTCAAAGTATGATAAAAAGTGATGGTACTCGAAACAGCTTAGTCATTCACAGTTACTCTTTGAACAATATTACTGTAACTGTATGCAGCATTCTCTTGGTTCTGCTCATTTCACTCTGCATTATTTCATGCAAGTCTTTCTATATTTTTCTAAAACCAACCTGCTTGTCATTTCTTACAGTGCAGTAGTATTCCATCACAATTGTATACTAGCACTTATTCGGCCATTCCCCAATTGATGATCCCTTCAATTCCAGTTCTTTGCTACCACAAAGAGAGCTGCTATAAATATTTTAAAACATGTAGGTTCTTTTCCATTTTCCCTCATCACCTTGGGGAACAGACCTAAGAGTTATATTTCTGGGTCAAAGTTTATACAGTTTTATAACTCTGGGCATAATTCCAAATTGCTCTCCAAAGTAGTTGGATCAGTTCACAATTCCACCAATGGTGTATTAGTATTACAATTTTTCTATATCCCCTCCAGCATCTGTCATTTTAGACAGTCTTATAGGTGTAAGATGGTACCTCAGAGTTGTTTTAATTTTTTTAATTTGCATTAATTTGCATTAATCAATAATGATTTTGAACATTTAAAAACTACAACTATATATAGCTTTGATTTCTTCTTCCAAAAGCTGCTTGTTTATATCCTTCGACTATTTATCAGTTGGGGAATGACTCATATTCTTATAAATTTGACAAAGTTCTCTGTGTATTTGAAATACGAGACCTTTATCTGAGAAACTGACTATAAGTTGCCCCCCTCCCAATTTTCTGCTTTCCTTCTAATCTTGGCTACATTGGTTTTATTTGTATAAAATCTTATTAATTTAATGTAATCAAAATTATTCATTTTTACATCCTTCAATGCTCTTTATCTTCTGTTTATTCATAAATTTTCCTCTTTTCCAGAAGTTTGATAGGTCATAGATTCTGTGCTCTTCTCATTTACTTAAGATATCTCGCTTTATGTGTAGCTCATGTGTCCATTTTGACCTTATCTTGGTAAATAGTATAAGATATTGGTCTATACTTAATTTCTGCCGGACTGCTTTCCAGTTTTCCCAGCATTTTTTTTTTACCAAATAGTGAGTTCTTATCCCCCAAACTTAGATCTTTGCATTTACCAAACATGAGGTTACTACAATCATTTACTATTATATATTGTAAACCATTCTGTTTCTTAGCCAGTAACAGATAGTTTTGATAATTAACTGCCTTATAAATATAGTTTAAGACCTCCTTCCTTTACATTTTTTTCATCAATTCCTTTAATATTAATAAATTCCTTTTACTCTTCCAATTGAATTTTGTTATTTTTTTTCTAGCTCAATAAAATTATTTTTTGGTACTTTTATTGGGGATGGCAATGAATAAGTAGATTAGTTTAAGTAGAATTGTTATTTTTATTATATTTTCTTGTCTTATCCATGAGCAATTAATATTTATCCAATTATTTGAATCTAGCCTTACTATTTTAGTATTTAGTACTAATTTAGTATTTTATAATTATGTTCAAATAGTTCCTGGGTTTGTCTTGGCAGATATACACCCAGGTATTTTATATTGTCTATGATTATTTTTAAATGAAATATCTCTTACTATTTCTTCTGGCAGGGCTTTGTTTGTGATACAGAGAAATGCTGATGATTTATGTGGGTTTAATTTATATCCTGCTACTTTGCTCAAATTAATTGTTTCAGCTAATTTTTTAGTTGAATCTCTAAGTATTTTCCAAGTATACCATCATATTGCCTGCAAAAAGAGATGATTTTATTACCTTATTGCTTATTCTGATTCCTTCAATTTCTTTTTTCTTCTCTTAATGCTATTGCTAGCATTTCTGGTACAATACTGATTAATATTGGTGATAATGGGCATCCTTGTTTCACTCCTGATCTTATTGGGAAGGCTTCTAACTTTATCCGTTATAGATGTTGGCTGATGGTTTTAGATAGATGCTTCTTATTATTTTAAGGAAAAATCCACTTGTACCTATGTTTTCAAGTGTTTTTAGTAGGAATGAGTGTTGTATTTTGTCAAAAGCCTTTTCTGCATCTATTGATATAATCACATGGTTTTTGTTGATTTTGTTAATAATATAATAAATTATGTGAATAGTTTTCCTTATGTTGAACCAGCTCTGCATTCCTGGTCTAAATCCCCCTTGGTCACAATGTATAATCTTTGTGATATATTGATGTAGACTCCTTGCTAGTATTTTATTTAGGATTTTTGCCATCAATATACATTAGTAAAATTGGTCTGTAGTTTTCTTTCTCTGTTTTTTTGCTTTTCCTGGTTTAGGTGTCAGCATCATATTTGTTTCATTAAAGGAGTGTGGTAGAATTCCTTCTTTGCTTATTATTCCAGATGACTTATTTAATAATGGAATGAGTTGATCTTTAAATCTGTGGTAGAATTCACTTGTAAATCCATCTGATCCTGATGTTTTTTTCTTACTGTCACAGTCTAAGGGTGCTGGGAACCCTGAAATTCAAGGGCAAAAGACACAGGTCCTGCCTCGAATGAATTCAATGCCTTCTTTCAGTCAGAGACAAGGTTTTTTTTTTTTTTTGGCTAGGCAGTGGGGTTAAGTGACTTGCCCAGGGTCACACAGCTAGTACGTGTTATGTCTGAGGCTGGATTTGAACTCAGGTCGTCCTGAATCCAGGGCCGGTGCCC